GGATCATTCAACTCGCTCGCGAAGGTCGTATGCGACTTTAAAGTGAATACGTCTACAGTGTACAAGTAACTTTTAACTGTATCATATATACTCATGATAAGCAATTATTTTCGTTCCTAATTCGAATGAGCACATTCTGAGGCTAAATCTGCAAAAGGACAGATAAAATATTTCTTTGTACAATGCAAACGATACAAACGTAGCGGCTGATAATAGAGACAATGATTTAATAATCTGCAATATATCAAGTGTTCTCGTTCAATCTATTGTACATATTGAAGTGATTGTAAAGTTTCAAGGAGTACTAAAATGTTGTGGTATTATGAAGGTATTTAGAATATGAATAGCGAAAAACAGTCACCATATCGGATGCACATGTATAACTTGTCTTCCAACACCACGCTTGTGCCGAGGCCCATGGTAATAAAACTAATCGGTCCCATAAAAGGAGCAAATAGTTTCGCAGATACTTCTTGCTATGGTTCACTCCCAATTGTCAGACGACCTAATCATCAGTCAGACCAGTCAAGTGTGACCAGCGTACCTGCCTGGATTTGGCTCCAAATTACTTAACTGCCCAATACTGTCATACTGTGGACAGAGTAAGCGGCCTCGTTGAGTGATACAGACTAACCAGATTATGATTGTGTTTGTAAGTTGCGTTTAATCTGTGTCGGGTTGCAGTTGTTTTATAAGTCAAGACTAGGGGTAGTTTTTTCAATGAAACCTTTTGAGTTTGTTTTGCATTCATTTCATTAAATACATTGTTAGGTAGAATAATAACACGTTATATGGATTAAACATCTCCCTAAACTGAGTATAATCTCACATGTACTCTAAGTACCGTACTATATTACTTTGCGGAGACACTGAGTATAATTTTTTAGTTGGCATTGTATGCTGTCTGAATGACTTTACACAAATCCCTGCATTCAATAGACCCGTGAAGATCTTCAACAAACCATTCTTGGCGTAAAAGGGCGACAGCGCTTGTCGTAAGAAGCGACTACCGGGTTCGGGTGGTCAGGCTCGCTGACTTGGTTGATGCATGTCATCGTATCCCAATTGCGTGGATCGATGCACATGATGTCAATCACTGGATTGTCTGGTCCAGACTCGATTATTTACAGACCGCCGTCATACAGTTGAAATAATGCTAAGTGTGGCGTTATACAACTAACAAACAAACAAAAAACAAAAAGAGAAAGTGTATGAGTACTAAAACTTGCAATAGATATGCGTACCCTACGTACACACATGAGTCCCATTCGACAGTCTACAACACACGAATAACTGTCAAGCAAGTTTGGGTACCCCTTCTGTTCAGGCAAGTTATTTAGTTCGATAATTTTGTATTAAAATCCTTTTCAATTTGTTTTCATCCTTTTCCCCTATTCCATGCATGTTTATGTTGCTACATCTTATTGCTCATGTTTCCAAGTATTGTAAAACACTTTAATGTTTCTCTTCTTAATCTAACGTTATAACATTTCCGGTCATTGGCATCATCTAATACACAAGAGATGATACCAAGACATATTTTATTCGGTTTTATGGTCTATGCGGTCTTACAATTGATTTTATTAGTCATTAAATCTTATGTCTAGTAAATATTTTCACAAACCGGGCTGTTAACTGATATAAGGAATGTAACATCCAGTTGAGGACTGAATACGACGTACGTTAGTCTGGTAACGACATTTCTACAATTAATATTTTGAATAAGCCGTTAATACGCCAGTTGTGACAGGGATGATGGTATGGTAGATGTAGCAGACATATTGACAGCCGTTGTTACGCGAGTCACTAGGTTATTTGTACGGCATTGGCCTTGTTGATTGGTACTATACTTTCTGTGGTCACTGGCGGACGTAATTCAAACTCCTTCCCCCCTGACATTGCACCAAATATATTTGTGTACCGATTACATAACTCTTACTGACAGGGTAGGGTGGCAGTTCACGCGAAACGGACGACACTGTGTATATTGAGCGGCTCCTTTGATATCGCCTCACAACATACTTTTAATGAATGACCAATTAAACGATGCTACACATCAGGATCGCGGAGAAAATACAAGCTTCGTTCGCGTTGAATATATATATCAAGGCACAAATTAATCTTTCATAAACATTTTGTGTCTTGGTGCTTAATGTATCCACATATCAACGAAAATATGTAATACATGTATCCACAAAAATATACATGTACAGGCTAGGTATTTGCCCACAGCAACACCTGCATAACTGTTTATTCACGCGTGGTGTGGCAGATTGTAATTGACCGACAACAAGTACTGTAGAATCACCTGTAAATAAGGCCGACACTGTAATTAGACACAACGTACTAATGAGAATATGAGAATTATCATAAGAAGGCTGTTACGTTTTTCTTAACTATTACCATTTTCATACCAAAAGTGACAATGCAGTTAAAAGTTGCTTTAGTGTCACAATATTCACTCACGTTTTCCTCAATCGCATTGAAACATAATTCCTACTGGTCAGTTCGACACTGCTTGTAATTAAATAATTATTTCGAGATTTCGTTAGAATGTAAGATATTCAGCCAAACGTTATGCAATAAAAGACGAATAGTTTTTTTCATTAAAATACGCGCACGCGTACTTGTATATTGCATACCTAGTGTCACGTAATTGCCCAGTGTGATGTATCAACGGGACATAAAATGGGAAATGAAATAGAAACTAACTAAAATTTAATGTTGTGGAAAATAACTCCAATGAATTTGAGTACACGCACATGAATTCGTATGATAAACTGTCAAAACGTTTTGAGAGGTAAGGCCGGGTTCATTTAAGATCGCTACAATATGTAAAACAGGTGAAATTTGTAGAACTAAAGGAAACATCCAACCAAAAGCCAATGTAATGATATAATATAAAGTATATTTCACATGATACAATATACTTTGCAAACAGTTAGTTGATGCTTGAAAGGGACTGACGAAAACATGGGCGAAATATTTTAATAACGCCGTAAAATAGTTGAATTAAGTAAAAATTAGTTAAATTTTGTGTCATGATACTTGAATAAATACATTTAATGTATTTGCGAAAGAAAAACATGAGTTTTGAGTAAAGAAACATGTTCTCGCCCATGGGCAGGCCCATGGGCCAAACCTTTTTCTTGCCAATGGGCGAAATATTTCAATATCGCTATAAAATCGTTGAATTAAGTTAAAATGAGTTTAATTTTGTGTCATGATACTTGAATGAATACATTAAATGTATTTGCGAAACAAAAACATGAGTTTTAAGTGAAGGAACATATTCTCGCCCATGGGCCTGCCCATGGGCCTGCCCATGGGCCAAACCTTTTTCTCGCCCATGGGCGAAATATTTCAATATCGCTATAAAATCGTTGAATTAAGTTAAAATGAGTTTAATTTTGTGTCATGATACTTGAATGAATCCATTAAATGTATTTGCGAAACAAAAATATGAGTTTTAAGTGAAGGAACATATTCTCGCCCATGGGCCTGCCCATGGGCCTACCCATGGGCCTGCCCATGGGCCAAACCTTTTTCTCGCCCATGGGCGAAATATTTCAATATCGCTATAAAATCGTTGAATTAAGTTAAAATGAGTTTAATTTTGTGTCATGATACTTGAATGAATACATTAAATGTATTTGCGAAACAAAAACATGAGTTTTAAGTGAAGGAACATATTCTCGCCCATGGGCCTACCCATGGGCCAAACCTTTTTCTCGCCCATGGGCGAAATATTTCAATATCGCTATAAAATCGTTGAATTAAGTTAAAATGAGTTAAATATTGTGTCATGATACTTCAATAAATACATTTAATGTATTTGCGAAACAAAATCATGAGTTTTAAGTAAAGGAACATGTTCTCGCCCATGGGCCTGCCCATGGGCCTACCCATGGGCCAGACTTCGCCCATGGGCAGGCCCATGGGCGACATAGTCTAAATATTGAGTTTTTAAACAATTTTTTTTTCATTTTTTCTTCCTTGGTATGTTCCCATGAAAACGGCATGTTTAATTTTGTAAATACCTTTAACCGAGACTGGGCAAAGAGCGTAGAGTTTCTGGACTTTTGGGTTTCCAGAATTAAAATGGGACGTGTTAATTGGTTTTGATCAACATATTGTAGATAAAACATGTTTAGGTTTAAATATGAGGATTGATTGGGTATTATTTTCGGTTAATAGAGGTAGTGAGTGAGTGAGTGCGGTTTTACGCCGCTTTTAGCAATATTCCAGCAATATCACGGCGGGCGACACCAGAAATGGGCTTCACACATTGTACCCATGTCGGGAATCGAACCCGGGTCTTCGGCGTGACGAGCGAACGCTTTAACCACTTAGCTACCCGACCGCCCTCATTGAGCTATGAATCGAAAAAACTGTGCAAACGTTTGTAAGAACTTTTGTTTGCACATCGGTTTTTCGATTAATACCACAATGAACCTCAAGGAATACAAAGTAAATCCTGAATTAAACCAAATTTTACGGCTTGATAATTTTATTAATCAATGTAATAGAACGTCCATTTTCCTCCCTGTCACTTCTCAAACCAAAGGGAAATAACTCTAATCGTAACCCTTGCTGATCGACAGGGTAACACACATTGCAATCCTCTCAACAGAGATATAGTGGGTGAGTGAGTTGGGTTTAACGCCGCCTTTAACAGTATTCCAGTTATATCGCGGCGTGTCAGCTTAATGTGGGAGGAAAGCCCGAAGTGATGCAGGTCTCAGACATTTACCACTTCAGTGAAACCCACGGGCACGGGTATGGTGCTGACAAACCTAGAAACATAATCGGGGCGAAGCGGGATTCGAACCCACAATCATAGGTTTCTGGCGTGCCAAAGGGACGCAACTCTGCACAGCGAATCGCGGCGCCTTAGACGAGTGGGCCCCCGTGCCCCCCGACAGAGATATAGGGGAGGAGGTGTCACTAGTGAGCAGCATCTTATTTTATTACAATAACTGAAATTAACAGCACGCATATTTTGTTAGCATGTTTTATTTTCACAACCGATATAAAATATGACATCTTTGGTGTATAACATTATACAAAATATTTCAGCTTTTTGTTTGGATTAGAAGGAAGTGTTCTTGGATTTTTCCACTCAGCATACATCGTTTCCACCGTGTCTCGGTGTCAAAGGCGGATGAGCTTGAAAGCCTGTCCCATCAAAGTGGGTAAAGCGGAAGAACCCGGAAACCCATCCCATCTCAGTGTGAAAAGCGGATGAAGGCTCCGAAAGGCGTTCCCTTGCACTTGACAGCCGGGGTGGCGAGATTGTTCCCCCAAGGGACAGTGGAGGCAAAAGTGGAGCTACCACACCCAATACTCCTCAGTCTGCAGCCTCTGGTGTCACAGGTTCTGGCCTCACAGCACACGAGTGTCCCCCCATTGCCAGTGACGCTGACTGAGTAGCGGACCCGGTGACCCGGACTCCCGAAAATGGAAGTGTCCGAACTGCACGTCGAGCCGAACACAAACGGAGGGGCCCAGCAACTTCCTCCATTGCCATGGGCGTAGGGCAGCACCAACAGCATGGCCATGGCTACAACGGCGAGGAGTTTTGTCATCTTTGGATATCTGTGAATATAAACACATTATGTATATGATATACGTGTCATTTCAAGTTTGGGAAAGGGAGACGAGGTGGGAGACTGTTTGTAAAAGCTCCACCTCAGAGTGGACATGAGTATAACGTCAGTCTGGCATCAAGCACAACTGGAGCCGGCAAATCGGGATCACAAGCTGTTATTTTACGACAATGAAGAAAACCTAACTTGGGGAGTGAGTGAGTTATATCACGGCGTGTCAATTTGACGTGGGAGGAAAGCCCAAAGTGATGCAGGCCTTAGACGTTTACCACTTTGGTGAATCCACGGACAAACCTGGAAAGATAATCAGGGCGAATCTGGGTTTCCAACCCACGATCATAGGTTTCTGGTGCGTCTAAGGGACGCAACCCTGTACAGCGAATTGTTGCGCTTTCTAGCGACTACCTGTCGTGTTATGAATTTACATGAGAAAAGTATGACTATAAAATGGAGTGTATTTATTCCGAGACAGTATACAAACTGTTTCGAAATTCCGGAATTGTGACTGTAGAATTCGGTTTGACGTGAATATATAGCCCCCACCACCACCTCCACAAAAAAAAAAATCTATTAATTAAGATATGTCAGTGGATAACTTTGATTGCTATTTTAGATTAGACTGATAGTTTAAAATTCATTAACAATTTTGCATTTACATGTACGTGCAATTCGTCTCGACATGACATAGTGGGGAGTCTGCTAGCCTGCTAACATTGTTTTAATTTGTCATTTTTCATTTTTCATTATTATAGGTGATTGCTTGATTGAATTATGAGATAAACGAGCTAAATTCAACATTTGAAACCTCACGCTGCGCGTTCGGTTCCAAGTTCAGTTTAGCGAGGTTAAATTTACAGGTAACCTAGCTCAACACTGAAAACACAGTATGTTTATCTCCATTCTACCATGACTATATACGGGGCGGTCGGGTAGCCTAGTGGTTAAAGCGTTCGCTCGTCACGCCGAAGACCCGGGTTAGATTCCCGACATGGGTACAATGTGTGAAGCCCATTTCTGGTGTCCCCCGCCCTGATATTGCTGGAATATTGCTAAAAGCGGCGTAAAACCATACTCACTCACTCACTCATGACTATATACAACGCGAACTCTTTGGTGTTAGCAAATCTATTGAGCGAAGCGGCACGGGTTGAATCTAGTGTTTTGAGTGGGTTGTCGATCAGAACACGGAATCACCGACAACTGCCATTAAACAGAATAGGGCGCTCTATATCACTGTATGTGCTCAAGCAGTTTGTTTACAGCCTAATACTTCACTCGAACCTATGACAGGGACATGAAAGCATGTAGCACGGCAACGTACTAAGCTAACATGAGGGGGGCACCCTGAAGAAAACTAAGCAAGCCTTGGAAAGGTTTTGTTCTACACCACACGTGACTATTATGGCGTCTTATCGCACATTCTGATCGCACATTCAGTCGTTTTTTGAAGAGTTCAAAATAGAAAGGTCTTTGTTGTCCTCAAAACTTGAAAACATTCTCTTTGTAGATTTCTAGAAATGTAGAAATATATTGGTACACATCCTTTGAATATTGAAGTTACCGCATCTTTGCATTTTGTAGCCTACAATTGTACACATGATTATTTAGATATACTACAGAAATAACTGTAAAAGAAGTTCATGTACTAGTCTAAAAATGAAAGCTTCCGCGGCGATGCGGCCTTCAAATCGACTGTTTCAATCAGAGGTGGTTTATTGTGATTTAATACCGCAGATTGACCTATCAAAATCGAGTATTTTCCAAATTCAAGGTAACCGCCTAATTCAGCATTAGGGTGGCTAATTTGTTTCTTAATAATATTTAAAAACTGATGTACACGCATGTCATGTCACTGCGAATTACACATACACGAAGCTACAAAATGGTTTATGCAAAGAAACAATGTAAGTTGTCCTGTGTATCTGATATATCATAACTCAACGTGTTAACGAGAAAAGAATCAACATCCAGGACATGCAGTTTGCCATAGAAACATCACCAACGAGTAAGAAAGAGAAAAACCCGAGCATGTATATGGAGTTGTGAATAAACATATATCTTACCTTGTTCTTGCAAAACGTGAAGTGTTTGTGATGGTGATGCTGCACTAGGGCTATATATACCTACATCTGCAGCTAGAAATCTAGGTTACTGCGACATTTCCTTGTTTCCAAGAAACGAAGTGAAGCCCAATACGACGAATTCAAGCTCACTTGTTTACACGCCCGTTCCGTACACAGTTTCGCAGCGTCAGCAGACTCTATCAACATCCTGGTTGAGATGCTTTGTTGTCATTAAAGTGACAAGCTTCAGTATGACCTTAAGTCTCTGTACCTTTAACATATACAGTCAAGTCAAGTCAAGTCAAAGATGTTTATTGTATCAAAGGCCATCGGCCCATATACAAGTTCAGATAAATACAGTGGGTGAGAATTTACAGATTGGGAGATACAAAAAAAATTATATAAATATAACATTCATTTAACAATCGGTGATAATCATGAGGGCTTTCTAGGGTGAGGTAATTAAAATTATGAATTTCCACTCAACATGTTATTTCGTAGTTCCATCCCATGTTTTACAAATAAAGACAGTTTAAACATTACATCGGCATCATTCGATGACAAAATAGAAACAAAAGCTATTCTACTCGTCTTAGATAAGAAACATTCTGGTATATATTTAGTACGTAATTCTGCATAATAAGGACATTCAAAGGTAAAATGTATTTCGTCTTCTATTGCAGAGTTACAGAATGGACAAATTCTTTGTATTCTTTCAAGTGATATATTCCGTCCATAGTTAATCATAAGTTTTGACAAGCCAAGTCTGTATTTAATATATCCATTTCTTAGGTGACTATTTGTTAAAACTGATAGATATTTTTCTGGCTCTAATAGAGTCTTAAATGTTCTGTACAAATCATAACGTGAACTATTTTCCAAGTTGCATTGCCACCCTTGATAGAACATATTTATTGCTATTTTACGAAAATCATTTAGAAATAAATGTTGATCACCAACAGATTGGTTAAGCCATATATACCCATATCCATGTGAGAATAATAGTGTCCTAATATGCGATACCCATGTAACTTTACCGATACTATCTAAATGAAAGAGCATGTTATAAGCTTTTTTCGGAAGCCGATGTTCTGGCATACGGATGATATTAAACCAATATTTTAAACACTTTATTTGTGAATTAATGTAAAGTGGGTATCTTCCACATTCTCCATATATCATATTATTTGGTGTTGCTATTCCAACGCGAAGAAACTTTTTACATGCCAGTAGGTGAAATCTTTCTAAACATTCATATCTTCGGTAACCCCACACTTCAGATCCATACAATAAAATTGGCTGTATTTGAGTATCAAATAATTTGAAAAATACTTTTGGAGTAATAACTCCAAGTTTATGTGAAACAGACATTATATTAAGTGAAGCTCGTTTCCCTCGCAGTGATAAGTCAGATACACATTTGTTCATATTTAGTGTTGAATTAAACATTATGCCGAGATACTTATAACCATTAACTACATTAATTTGTTGTCCATTTAAGTACCATCTTTCCCTAAAATTTAAAGGACCCCCTTTTCTGAATACTATAATTTCTGTCTTATCTAAATTTACAGATAAATTCCATTCCTTAGTATATTTATCTAATACATTCAACTGATTCTGTAGACCAATAACAGTGTCAGATAGTAAAATAACATCATCGGCAAAAAGGAGCATAAGAAGTTCAAGGATGTCAGGATACATCTGTATGCCATGCTTGCCGTTACTTGAGATTTCATAATATAATTCGCTTATGAAAAACGAAAATAACAGAGGACTCAGTATACATCCCTGACGTAAACCAGATGGGCAATCGATAAAATCAGTAACACCATAATCACTACGTACACATGACTTGATATTTGAATACATTGATTGTAGTATATTAAACATCTTCCCTTGTAGTCCAGCTTTTCTTAAACAACACCATAATTTATAACGATCAACTGTATCAAATGCCTTTTTAAAATCAATAAAAGCAACGTAAACCTTGTGTTTACGACGTGTTAGACATTTTTGAATTGCAGCATATAATGTAAAAATATGATCTATGGTTGAATAATTTTTTCTAAAACCAGCTTGAACTTCCGGTATCTTATCTCTCATATTCGCCCAGTTAGTAAGCCTGTTATTCAAAACAGAGGTAAAAATTTTCCCCAGAACACTCATTAATGAGATCCCCCTGTAGTTGTCAGGGTTTCTCGGATCGCCTTTTTTATGTAGAGGGACTATTTCTGAACAAGACCAACTGTTTGGAAATATTTGATTATCAAAGAGTTTGTTGAAACATTTATGAAGAAATGGCATAATATCTAATTGGGAACATTTAAGCATTTCTATCAGCACTTGATCGGGCCCGGCGGATTTTCCTTTTTTTAACTTATTTATTGATGATGTAATTTCATGTTCAGTTATCGTAGAATTTAGTATGAATGCATCAATATCTGTAAACTGATTAGAACTGAGTTCATTTTCATCATCTAAGTGAGGAGAAAAAACATTGTCATTTGCAAAAACCTCTCTAAAATGGCACAGCCATTCTGCTTTCGTTATATGATTCTTATCTGTTTCCAAAAGCTAGATTGACTATTTATGCTTCTATGCAATCTTTCAGCTGATTTCTTACGTGAAATGGATTTAAATTTTCTGCAACAAAATTTATAATGATTTCTTTGTCTACAGTACACAATTCTGTTAGCGACTGTTCTTTGTGTTCTAAATCTCCTAAGTGCCCTACGTGTTTCTCGTTTCGCTTGTCTACATTCTAGACTTAGTGGTTTGTGATTTGCAAATTGTGGATTATGTCGTATTGTCTTTTTCATGCAGCTAGCAGAGTCTAATACAATGTCGACAAAGTGGCTAATTGCGTTTTCAATAGCATTATCAATTTCTTTAAGGACCATTTCTTTGTTTTCAGTAAAATTATATCTCAGGTTATCAAGAAACAAACTGGAGTAATGATCATTCCATACAATTTTCTCTGATGCTTGTGGATCCATACATGAATCATTGTTGCACCTCTTACCCATATTTGGAAATCTACACATCAATTCTAATGGAAAGTGATCAGAATCAGATCGATCACCGACAGTGAACATATTGATAAACTGAAAAAAATCTGGTGAACTTATAAAATAATCGTTCACACTAGATCCATGTTGGCTACAATAAGTAAATTCCCCATTAGTATCACCATATACACGTCCATTAACGATGTAAAGTTTAAAAACATAGCATAAATCCAACAACATTTGACCAAATCTATTTACAACTGTATCCTGTGAAGTACGATCCTCAACAGGGTCATCCTCCTCCTCAGGGAAAGGGGAGGTATGATTGAAGCTATCATCATTATTGCTAATATCAGGGTTATTTCTCTCACCTGTTCTCGCGTTCATATCTCCACAGATTAAATTGTATGAATTTGAAAACATTTCATCATTATCTATTAAGAATTCTTCTACTTTTACAATGTTACTATTGGTGTTTACATGATTATAATAAGGAGACCCCATTGGAGGGATATAGGTACATAACAAATTCACATTTTTGTCAATTCTAAATAAATCTTTAGATAACGAGAGACCAATTATGTTGTCTCTATCTGCTTGTATAACATTACAGAAACTACTCAGTGATTGACGTACACACAGACAAATACCACCTGATAAACGTCCATAGTTGGATAACTTAACTGCAGGACAGTAAAAAGTATCATATCCATGTAGCCAATGTTTTCCTGGAATATTTACAACAAATGTCTCAACAAGGCACACAATATCAAATTTACTGATGTAAGTTAAAAAGTCAACATCATTTATTTTGCTGAGAAGACCACCAATATTCCAACACACAAAGGAGAACGCGTCTCTGTTGACATCAGTAACACTGTGAGCGCGAGTATCACCGGTGTGCACATCAGAGGTTCCTTGTCAAATCCCATACATTTGTATACTAATCGTCTATTAACATATTTCCGTCACATGATTTCTTGTTTGTGGCATTAATGTGTGTGCGTCAGTGTGGTGGAGCTAAAGACGTATTCCCGTATTCTGTTTCACAATGCAGGTACATGTTGAGTGGCTGCTGTAAAACAGCTTTGGTTATGTACCATTGCGTTATCTTTTCGTTAATATTTTGTTGCATGCTTCTTTGTCACAGCAACAATATAAATCGCTGTCCCTTCCCACCCCCTCTAATTTGGTATTAGCTTCAAAATATGCAGTACCTTTTTATTTAAAATTAATGACATAATACATCAATAGGATTGGATAAAGCTCAACGACATCTAGTAGTGTCCACACTTATCGCGTGATGAAGGGCGGTGGGGTAGCCGAGTGGTTAAAGCGTTCGCTCGTCACGCCGAAGACCCGGGTTCGATTCCCAAATGGATACAATGTGAGAAGCCCATTTCTGGTGTCGACCGCCATGATATTGCAGGAATATTGTAAGAAGCGGCGTAAAACCATACTCACTCACTATCCCGAGATGATACACTGCTTGGCTTGTGACCCCCGAGAAAACGTGTGGCTATGCATTATTTCAGTAGTAATAAATAAAGCGATATTGTGCTTCATATTTTTGTTAATTCGTTTGCAATGTACAGGGACATAATAGAATTATATACTGAAATATAAAATGTTCTATAGATGTTTTATGCTTCACAAAATCACTGAGGTAAACATTTGTTTTGGGTACAAAATCACATACACCCCCATGAGTTCCCTCGGCACATTGTTATTATCAGCTGGTGGTGAGGTTTTTTTGCTGTTTGGATGACATGGGTCAGCATGTTGAAAATAACAACCACTTCTTTGTCTGACCCAATGCTGATTAGGTCTTTCCTGCGTAGCTGGACATGTACAAGCAAACAAACAAACAAACAAACAAAAAGCGTGGGCTGTATGACCTGCCGGATTGTGTGGGATCGTGCCCCGACTTCTTGAATCGTTACTCATGCTGTCAATCACTTGTTTGCCTGGATCGATTATATTTGTTTTTTGTATAACGC